AGTCTTTGGTTTAAAATCTAATTTGTCTGATATAAGGATTGCCACCCCAGCTTTCTTTTGGTGTCCATTAGCATGATAAATGGTTTTTCACCCCCTCACTTTCAATCTGGGAGTGTCTTTGGGTCTAAAATGAGTCTTTTGCAGACAGCATATCGATAGGTCTTGGTTCTTTATCCAATCTGATACCCTGTGTCTTTTGATTGGGGCATTTAGCCCATTTACATTCAGGGTAACTATTGAAAGATATGAATTTAAGATTATGAATTTCTCATGAGCACCCTCTAAGGCAGGAAGGAAGCTATTATGTTGTACTGACAGATGAGGAAACTGAGCCAGCATAGTGAAGCCCTTTTCTCCCTCTCTTTTACCTCCCTCCCTCTCTCCCCCCCCATTCCTTCCTTCCTGAAATATTTCAAGTACATAATGTCACCTTTGTTCTCTATAGAAGATGATTGACATAGAACCAACTATTTATTGCTTCCTAGTAAGACTATGGCTTGAATTATAGAAAGGTCCTCCTCATTAGAAGAGTGTGTTGGGTGCCTGGGTGGCTCAGTCAGTTGAGCATCTGTCTCTTGGTTTCCACTCAGGTCATCATATTGGGGTTGTGGGATTGAGCCCTGAGTTGGGCTCTGGGCTCAGCGGGGAGTCTGCTGGAGATTCTCTCTCTCCCTCTCCTTCTGCCCCTCCCCCTGCTCTCTCTCTCTCTCTGTCAAATAAATAAATAAAATCTTAAAAAAAAAGAAGAAGAAGAACGTGTTATATTTCAAGTCCTTCATTTAATTGCCTGGAAGCACTTTATGAGAGAAAGCTTTGCTTCTCTTCTTTCTCCTCTTCCTCCACCTTCTTTTCTGTGCTTCAGTCTCACACTGCAGTTGAGAGTCTGGCACATTAAAATAGATTAGCTTTCAGGGGAGTTGGGGGGCTGGGCAAATTGGGTGAAGGAGAGCGGGAGGTACAGCCTTCCAGTTATGGAATGAATAAGTCATGGAATAAAAGGCACAGCATAAGGAATATAGTTAATGGTATTGTGATAGAGTTGTATGGTGACAGATGTAACTGCCCTTGTGGTGAGCACAGCATAATGTATAGAGTCCAATCATTATGTTATTTTTTTACACCTAAAACTGCTGTAATATTGTGTGTCAATTATACTTCAATAAAAAATAAACAAAATAAAAGATTAGTTTTCATAAAGATGAAGATTATATTGCTTGTGAAATTTTAGGTCTTCTCTGATTTGATTCTTAACCTAGAGCTTGTGTTCTAACTAACGGGCAAATTAAGTATCATTTTGGAAGATTAGGCATCACTGAAATATAGTAAGTTTAAGGCAATATCTATTAAATTAGGTTTGGCTACACCCCCGTGCAAGAAAGCTTCAGCTGCCTGACCAAGGACAATTCTATCTCCATTGTGGCAAATATTGGGGACAAGAAGTCATGCAATGCCAGTGACCCTCAGTGTCCCCCCGATGGTCGTTACCAGTACAACACCGATGTGGTGTTTGATTCTCAGGGAAAAGTGGTGGCACGCTATCATAAGGTGAGAATTTCTTTTGTTTGTCTGTGGTATGGGTGTAGACTCATCTGTTGAATGTGGGTGAGACAATCGCAATGAATGCATTTCTTAATTATTATGTTTTAGTTGAACAGGGGCTTTCATTTACTTTGGTCTCATATAAGGGTCCTGAGTTTGAATTAATCATAAAATAGAATATGGCAGAATATTGAAACAATGGGATAATAGTCTCACAAGGATTTTAATAGTCTCTGAGAAAGAGGGTGACATGCTGTTTCATCCATGATTTAATACCAGGGTTAGTTTTCTGGCTCAATTCGTTAACATTTTATACGAAGCTTTAGTCAGTCATTCATTCCGTTAGGACTTGTTTTTTCTTTTCTTTTCTTTTTTAATTCAAGTAAGCTCTATGCCCAGCGTGGGGCTTGACCTCATGATGCAGAGATCAAGAGCCGTATGCTCTACCAACTGAGCCAGCCAGGTACCCCCATTAGGACAGTTTTGATTGCAACAATAGAAAACCCCACATGAAATTTACTTGAAAACACCCCATGGAATTTCCTTATGTATCTGAAAAACTATAAATCATAGGAAATAGTTTCAGATGTGGTCTATCCCTTAGAGGCTTTAAAGATGTCAGCCATTCTTCTAGCTCTCTTAGCCCTTGCTCCAGCTTTTACTCAGGCTGTCCTTTTAGAGGCCACATAGTGCCCAACACAAACCTTACATCCTATAGCGTTCTGTAGCAGCAAAATCCAGAGGAAGAGTGTATGTCTTACTCCTAGAACACCTGCAAAAGCCTCATCATGCTTTGACTCCAGTTAGGCTGCATGCCTTCCTTAAGCTGATTACTGCAGGAGGAAGGATAAGCTACCACCTGAGTGGAGGGGGGAGGAGTCAGTGATCCTCACTGAAGGGGAGGGAGTATGTCCAGAACACATATATGTACACACCGAGCCTAATCTAAACCTGAGCAAGTACTCCTGAACCCAGGCAAAGTGGAGTTTGGGAGAATAATCAAGCTGGAAAAATCATGAATGGCTTACTGATTAATAAGGCTTAGCTATTACATTGTCAAAATTCACTTTAAATGTACTTCAGTTATATAAACCCACCAGTATTGTAGGGAGATATGGCAAAGTTAATTTTATTAACGTGTTAGACGTCACACTGGCAGTGCTGTTGGTATTTAAAGAACAAAAGTGATAAAAAGCCTGAAATTTATAAGGTTCAAAATTTCAACCTGTGATGTTAAGACAGAAATATGCACTTTCTGAATATCATTTGTAGATATGATTTCATTCGTTAGTTGCGGAAAACTGAAGTTTTTTGATTAACGTCATGGTAATTAAACTCATAGTGGGTGTGATTTATACAAATTTATGTGTAATTGTTTTAAATATGCACATCAGCATGGAGGGGAAAAATTTTATGGATATGGAGCACCTCTATTTGGCAGTTTTCTTGCTTATTTTCCCCTTCTTTGCTTTTTGTTGACAGTACAATCTTTTTGCACCCGAAATTCAATTTGATTTCCCCAAGGATCCAGAATTTGTGACTTTTGACACTCCCTTTGGGAAGTTTGGCATTTTCACTTGCTTTGACATTTTTTCTCATGACCCGGCCATCGTGGTGGTGGATGATCTTCATGTTGACAGCATTCTCTACCCCGTGGCGTGGTATAACACACTGCCCCTTCTCTCGGCTGTTCCCTTCCACTCCGCATGGGCCAGAGCCATGAGAGTCAACCTGCTTGCTGCGAATACCCACAACACTGGCATGCACATGACAGGTAATTCACACCTGTCCTGCACCAACTGGCCATGACAGTCTCAGGAAGTCTTCATTGATTTTCAAGCCACATTTTTCTTTAATAATTCTTTTATTAACTCTAATGTCACAAAATTAATGATAGCGTGGCTTTCTGTACCAACATTATTTAAGGAACATTATCCCTATGAGTACAGAAGGAGGTAAACATTATTATCTCAATTTCATATGAGGGAAAATTGGAGTTAAAGGGAAGTCAAGTCACATAAACAAAACAAAAAACAACACAAAAAAACCAAGGCCAGCTCTAAAGAACTTTTCAGCCAGCATCCATTAGTCGTATTGAAATAAATCTTGTTGAGGTGATAAAATCAATTTAAACTTAAGCAGGTCTTTAGAATTTATCCTTCGTAGCATCCATGTTCAAGGTAATGCAGGCTCCCCTCTTAACTGCTTGGTTATTCATTGATCCAGATGAAGAAACTTAAACACAAATAAATTAGATAAGGGAATTTTCTAGTTGGTGTTAAGTTGGCTTAAAAGGGGGTAGTTTACATAAAAAAGAGAAGCCGCCCAAGTCAATTGATAATTTCAGATAATTATGGAGGACACGGAGTCAGATTGGAACTATGTCAGTGCAACAAGCTATCTCCTTGATTATCCTGAAAGTGCTTATGCTTTGATAAAGTTGTATCTAGTTTCTCATGGGAATGATTCCGTTGGTTTGAGACCATGCAAAATTTGGAACCAATATTTGTGTGACTTTGTGTCCACTTCTGTAGGGAGTGGATTCTACACACCGGAAGCTGTCCAAGGGTATCACTATGACATGGAAACAGAGTGGCCAACTGATGCTCTCAGAATTGAAGTCCCGGCCCCGTAGTGAACCCAGCTACCCTGTAGCTGTTGACTGGAGTGCTTATGCCAGAAGCATCAAGCCATTCTTGTCTGAGCAGTCAAATTTTCTGGGAATGATTTATTTTGATGAGCTCACCTTCATTGAGCTTAAGAGAAACACGGGAAATTACACAGTTTGCCAGGAAGACCTGTGTTGTCACTTAACTTACAAGATGGCTGAGAAGCAAACAGATGAGATGTATGCACTAGGTGGTTTTGATGGACTGCACACAGTAGAAGGTCAATATTACTTACAGGTAAAAATTGCTTCCATGTGTTAGAATGGATTTTTTTATTAGTTTTTTTTTTTTTTTTAATTTTACTAGACCATCACTGCATTTCTTTAAAAATTGTGCTGGATTCAATTAATTGGTATAGTGCTAACATTGATTACTAAAGTTTCCCCCACAGAATGCTTTATTTGTTTAGTTTTAGCAAGAACAGAATTACTTCTCCTGGCGGCAAAGTAAAACATAAAGCAGATTGATTCGTTCTCGGCCAGCCAGATTCAAGTTTAAAAAGCTGCAACTTCCTTGCATTCTCGTTTTGTGTCAGGTGGCTTTAGAGCTGTGTGTTCCAGACTGCCTTCAACTGGCATCCAGAATAAGAACATCATTTCCCATCACGATGCAGTGCAGTCAAGATGTGTGACTGAATTATAATAGATTTGCTTTAAACAAATATTTTGTTAATCAATTCAAATTAGAATTAGAAATGTTACAGGATTTTTTTCCATCGGTGCCCGGGGTTCTTGGTCATGCTGCTTTGAAGAATGAAGAAGAGGTAGACCAGACAGAGTGATGGGCAGCAAAGGAAGGTTTATTGAGGGATATAGCAAAGTGATAGTACAAAGCTCCAGAGGAGGGAGGGGACCCGAAAGGGTTGCCACCGGTGTTTCTAAGTCTAGGCGTTTTTATAGGATTGTTTTTATAGGATTTTATAGGATGTGGGCTGTTTTAATCTGATTAACCCTCCCTGCACCTGTCATGCAATCAGGTTTTTGTCACATGAGAAAGGGTGGAGGGCTCCTTCCAGTGTAAAATCCTCTTAAGTGTGGTTTCCTCTTAGGGCGGGGCCCTTCTCCCTGCCTGCCTGCCTTCCAACTATCCTTCATCAGAAATAACTCTAGGGATGCCCGGGTGGCTCAGTCAGTTAAGCATCTGCTCAGGTCATGATCCCAGGGTCCTGGGATGGAGCCCCGCATCGGGCTCCCTGCTCAGTGGAGAGTCTGCTTCTCCCTCTGTCTGCTGCTCCCCCTGCTTTGTGCTCTCTCTCTCTCTCTCTGGCATAAATAAATAAAGTCTTTAAAAAGTAATAAAATAAAAAAAAGAAATAGCTCTAATTATGAGCAATGGTACTCTGACTTTTAAAACCTAGTTTATTGCTTTTCACTTTATTAAAAAAAAAAAAAAGACTTAATCTTGACCCTTGAATTGATTTTAGGATTCACTAATGACCTGTAGTTTGAAAAGACTCTGCTTCAGTGGTGTAGGGAACAAAGGCAGGCCACCCCAAGATGAGCCACTTTGGCATGAAGATTATTGTGAGATAAAAAGCAATCAAAAGCCAGCAAATTCAGAAAAACCTCCTTACTTCCCACACAACTGCCTAAAAAGAATTGAGATAGAGGATCTGCTCCAGAAGGAGATATATCACCATAGATAACTATGTCATGACATGAAGTGGGAGTGGCAGACAGGGAGGAACCCCGCAAGGCCTATTTGAACAAAGTTGTCTATGTCCTTTTGTTTCTGAGTGGCTCAGCAAACATTTGTTTACCAAATGTTTTATTCTTTTCCATCTTCCTGTGAATCGCATTCTTTCTCTTTCAAGTCCCAGACCCCTAAGCCTTTCTCCTTACTTCAGAATGACATATGTACCTCATTTGGCCTGACTGCCTTTGGAATTTCCGTGTCTGTGTGGATTCCCCATAAGCACAAAATTAAATTTGACTTTCTCCTGTTAATCTGTCTCATGTCAAGTCAGTTCTTAGTCTGGATAGAAGGACCATGAAGGGGACAGGAAATTCTTTCTCCCTGACAGATGCAACCTAACAAATTTTCCTCTATTCCTTGAGATTGTGTCTCTTGTGGAGAAAATATTTCCAAGATTTCTGACCACCTCTGTCTCTCCTTTGCCTCCATAGATATGCACATTACTGAAGTGTCAAACCACTGACCTGAGAACTTGTGGGGAGCCTGTGGGGTCAGCTTTTACCAGGTTTGAAGAATTTTCCCTTAGTGGCACATTTGCAACACATTATGTTTTCCCACAGATCATTCTCAGTGGAAGTCAACTTGCTCCTGAGAGACATTATGAGGTAGGAGGAATTCAGGATGATAAGTTTCTTTGAGCAGATGGGGTAGACTGGCATCATGAATGATAAATTTCTTTGAGCAGATGGGGTAGACTGGCATCATTAAATCTTTGAAATTATGACAAAGGATTGCAATGTTGTGGCTCACATTATATGGCAAAACTTTAAAGACAAGGGGAACCTATAATATGGAAGGGAGTTGTGGTTTTAGACATCTTTAGGCTGTGATGGGAAATTTGGGGTTCATTTTTCTACATAAATGTGATGTTGCGATCCAAGGCAACAGGAGGGTTATGGAGAACTAAAAAGAGAAGTACTGACTGTGGATGATGGCAACTAATATCCTCTTTATTTGCATGGTGTAGAAGGCCCAAGTTAAATACATTAAATAATGCATCTACAGCTTGTTTCATGGGTATGTTATTTTAAGAAGTTGTTATAACGAGAGCAATAATGATACTATTATCATGAGTTAAAAGATTTTTTTTTATACATCATCTTTTTTAACCGCCTCTGCCATAGTTTACTTATGCCCTTTCACCTAAATCTCTCTCCTATTCGAACTTTAGATCTGACACATGGGTCTTCTGACACCAAATCCTGTGTGCCTGTTACTATTTTAGAGTAAGGTTGTCAGAGAAGGGCCTCTGGGCTGGAAACCAAAGCTCTGCATTGGAGTTCAGCCTTTGCTTTCTTTGATCAGATTTCAAGAGATAGACGTCTGAGGAGCCGGGGCGGAGCCTCTCTGCCTGTCTTAGTTATGGCCCTGCATGGAAGAGTGTTTGAGAAGGACCCTCCACTCCGCTTAGGGCAAGGACCTAGGAGATGACCATGATCTCCTTCCACGGGCACACTTTCAGGATTGCCCTGGCAAAGAAAGGGAGAAAAAATAATGCTTCATGTCTGTTTAAAAGAGATGTCACAGGGGGAGAGGAAAGATGGCGGAGGAGTAGGGGACCCTATTTCAACTGGTCCCCGGAATTGAGCTGGAT